CGACACATTACAGGGGGGAGGTGGTGGAGGCGGAGGTGGCATAGGGCTTAGTGGTGCTGCTTATCGTGCGCACGGTGCGAAGTTCAAATCACGTTCAATTCATTTCAACCAACATTCAATTTCCAACGACCACCCTCAACACTCACTACTGTAGCTATCCAAATTACCACGGCGCAGCGCATTTCTCGAAAATGGTAGGCCAATTCAATAATTCATAACATTACCTAATAGTCCATCTTTCTGCCATAGTTGTAGGAGGGAAAAAATCGTGGGACTAGCTCGTTGAATATTCAAGGTCTTCAGGAAGCCTTCAGATCCTTAAGTTGGAGCAGTAGCTCTAGAGCACAACTGGCAGTACCTTTGGACAGAGCAAAATCGCGCTTTCTTACAATGTGCAAAGTGTAGCAATCTGCCAAGAATCAGTCAAAGATAATGCTTTGAAATTGAACTATCGGAGACGGCAACTACTTTCCTCACAGTCTTACACAAAATTTAATGTTCCTTCAAAAGTATCGATTTCTCGAATTTTAGGGCCATGTCTTCTTCTTATCTTCAGCAAGCGTGCTGATACTGACGTGGAACGAAGTATTGGCCAAAGTAGTGAAAGGAATTCTCCTAGTGTATTTCCCAAGTAGCGAACAGGTAATTTTTCAGATGCGCTATTGCTACTTGGAAGGGGACTTCACAGAAACATAGGAAAGGGGCTCAAATACAGTGTGTTTCATGATTATAAGGTCACCTCAAAGTTTGCATTTCCGGAACAAGTGCACAGGGAAGTTTCTCGAGTAAACCAAAAGATTCCTCACCATATTGTAACAAACCCCTGTACAGGATGGGGCATAAATAATGACAAAGTAATTGTGGCGTAGTTCGAAACAGAAAGTTGAATCAGGATACCAAGTACAGTAGCGTTAGAGCACATACTTTCAGAAGATGGTTGATATTTCTTATGCAGAATGGCTGCCTATGAGCTTGGCAATTCTGCAAAAACGTACTCTATAAAAGACCTTTGCCGGCATAACACCTTTGAAAACTCCATCATACTGTTTAAAGAGCAGCTGTTAGCGACGCATTCGAAGTGTGTTGTTTCGCGCACTTCTTCAGCTTCAACACTGACCACAAATGATCCGCCACATTCAACTGGAAGTTTAGGCTAGCCAGTTTTGTGCAACCCAAAATCGGAGAAATGGGCTTTGCAGCAATTTTCACAAAATTCAATCCATGAGCCGGCATACTGCCTCGCTAGTGAATTAAATCTTTATGAGTAGTGAAGGTGACGAGAGTTCTCGAAGTTTCATCTTATGGCACAGACTTGAGATTTTACTCCCACACGAGCGAAAACCAACTGATAAGATAAGATCGTGCTTACTCAGGTTCACTTTATCGCTGAGCTAGAAGGTTGGTTGTTTTTCGCTGTTCATGCCCTGCCAGTTTCTTTGGAACTTTGGTTAAACATATCTGAGTTCCCTCGAACGAAGTCATGATCGTCCTTGGAAAATATAAAAGGTCCCCTCTGTGAAAAGAACATAATGCGTGTGTCAATCGAGAGTCGTATGACGATTTGTCGATGCATCCTTCGGATATGATCGGAAGGATTCCACCTGGCGGAGCGTGACATAAAAAATCCCAGTCGCTTTGGGTTAGGTGCGGTCACTCATCAAACAATTATCAGGAAACCATGAAACCATGCAATTATACCCAAAAAGCAATGGCAAATCTGGAGGTATACTCATGAGCCTAACTCAGTGGTCGGTGGCAAGATTGAGCTACAGCAAATGCCACCATATTTATGCCCCACCCTGTATATTGTACAATGCAACATTGGCAAGAGCAGCATTTCTCCTGAGTGTCTTTCAGCTGTTTGAATGCATTGCCCTCTTTCACACGTTTGATTTTATTAGGACTGCCTCTGCAGATGCCCTTTTGCTACACACAGATGCAAGCTCATAACACCCCGCCCCGTCGGACAATAGACCCCTCCCATGATTTACACGTTCATACCCGTTTAGACGGATGTATTTGTTCTCAGTGGACACCATGTCGCTAATTATTGTGTTCTCATTACAGGATCCACAATCCTATTATCAGGACTGCCGGTCGTTCATATTGAGTATAGCAGGCTTCAGCGCTCTCCTGTTTCGCTACCCAGGATTTTTCGCAATCTCACATTTTGACTGCAGATGGGCGTTCTACGTCATAACGTCCTGCTACTCAATGGGTATGCATTATCTTGTGGTAGTTTCAGCCCTAATTCTCACTTCTTGGGTCTTATAAATTTCGCTACACACAGATGCACGCTCATAACACCCACACACCTTCCCATTGATCATCGACTTGCTCTGTGAAAACCAGCAACGTCTCGATTCCTCTCTATCGCGTGCTAGAGTGGTTTAGTAGGTACTCCTCGCCTGTGGGTGACGCAGGCTTGTTCAGTGCTTTCATGATGGAGTCTTATCATCGCGACGATGGTCGTCCACGTATCCTTTTTACGTATCGTGGGATTCAGTCGGTGACCGCTCCTGTTCGAAGGTCATCACAAAATCGCTGTCTTAGTGAAGACAACTGCTATGAATTGACACAGCACTGCAGAGGCAATGAGACCATTTAAATCCACCTGCGTCTCAGGGCAAGTACATGGTGGCTTTTGGTCCGCGATTTACCCCCTATCCGCCACCTGGGGTCGCGCCACGTAGCCTCGCCACCAACCGGCTAGAGATCTCTTCAGTGAGAGAGGACCCTCAGTGAAATAGAGCCGGGGCGAGTTCATACAGAGGCAGAGGAATTTGCGCGAAATTGTTCAGTGCGCTTCATTGATCGAGGTGTTGCCACCCCTACTATACATATATAGAGGGCTATCTCTGTTTGTCACGAACTTCCTACTTTCTGAAAACATTCTGTCAAATGTGGGATAGGTGTAACACTCCTCGAGAAAATGAAAGCACTCATCAGCCAGACGGCGGGGGGGGGGGTTCGCGTGCCTGGCCATCGGATGAGCGGACTGGTGACTAAGTTTGCAAATTCAAGTGCAAAACAGCCTCAAGAGTGGGAATAATTACAGGAGGTGGCGCTTTGGTGAAGCCAGAACGATTATGGAGGCTCCCATTTATGCGAGGGCGTCTGCTCTAAAAAAAGCGGTCAACAAAAAAGTCATAATCGGGAGAGGATTAAGCCTCGAGAGCAGACAAAAAAAGGAACAATGTTTAGGGAGTTCTGCCAGACATTGCTTGAGCAGACGGTCTATAATGGGCGGGCTGCGCGTCAATTGAAGTGGAGAGCGTTTCCCTAACAAGCACTCATAATGTCGTCTCCTGAGAAGTCCTGGAGAGCGGAAGGTGGATAGAGGTCAGAGAAGGAGGGGGGGGGCTAAATGCTCATAGTAGGTGTAGCGTGCACAAAAGGTGAACGGAATTTGCTGCCAAACTTATAACTCGGTTTGAGGAAGTCTTAAGACCGGGAATAGGTGGGTAGAGCTCGGCAAAGGA